ATATGAAACCTTTTAATTAAAATCTTCTTAGCCTTGAAATCCAGTCATTTTTTCCCCTATAAATTCATCGCTCTTGTTTGAATAAATGTTAATGAGTCGGTCACATATTGAACTACTTTAAATAATTAAAGAGACCCACTGAGGCTGATATAAGACTATAGGCACAATTGTTAGTTTAGCTTAGGATGTCACAGAAGCTGCCAGATTCTCACGGCATGGTACCATTTAAGTCAACCTGGGTGACATTTCTTGGAATTTTTTTTATTTTATCATGTAAGTAGATTAAATCGCTCAGTTTTGTAAAAAATAAATAAATCTTAATTAATGATAGCAGTTTGTGTTATTAAGAAGTTTATAATTGTGTAGCAAACCATAAACGTCATAATGTTGTTAACTAGAAATTGCTCTGGCTAAATGAAAGTTATCATTTTGAAGAAAATTATAATCTTCGAGAAATTGAATGCGTTGGCATGTATTCAAAAGAGTAAATCATAATTATCATACAAACAGTATATTTTTATTTTCAATGATTTTAGTTTTTACTTTTTATTCGAGAGTTGATAGTGATAAAATTGATCTTTTCATGTACAAATAGACACAGAAATGATCAGTTAATTAATAAAATATTGCATTACGTTATTTAAGAAAATAAAATTATTATTATAACGATTTTAGTCCCAAAGCTGCAGTTGCCTGGAAAGTTTTATTTTTATGTCCCCGTAATCGAAGATTCGGGGAAATAGTTTTTGCCCTGTCCGTCCGTCTGTCTGTCTGTTTGTCCGCAAAAACTTTAACCTTGCCCATAAATATAGATTGGTTGGAGCTATGGCTTTCATATTTTACATGTGTATTCCTTGTGACAAGACTTTCCCTTAGGTACCAACATATTTGACCACTTGACCTTGGAGTTTGACTCACTTTTGTAAAAATTTACGCATCTTTAACCTTGGCCATAAATTTTGAACAGTTGGTTCTAAGGCTTTCATATTTCACATGTGTAATTTTTTACCTTAATGTTTGACCCACTTTTAAAAAAACTTTAACCTTGGCCATATCTTTTGAACAGTTAGTACTACGGCTTTCAAGTTTCACAGGTATATTCCTTGTGACAAGACCTTTCTTCGGATACTAACAATTTTGACCTTTTGACCTTGGAATTTGACCTACTTTTGAAAAACTTCATCATTCGCCATAACTTTTAAACAGTTGGTTCTAGGACTTTTATATTTTGCATGTGTATTTCTTATAACAAGGTCTTCCCCAGCGTACGCTTAATTTTGACCCTTTGACCTTGACCTTGGAGTTTGATACACTTTTAGAAAACATTAACCTTGACCATAACTTTTGAATGGTTTGTGCATGGACTTTCATATTTACCAGGTTTATCCATTGATGCAAGTCCTTTCTTTAGGTAACAACATGTTTGATCTCTTGACCTTGGAGTTTGACTTGCATTTGAGAAACTTTATCCTTTGCCATAAGCTGCCATACGAGGGCATCAGTGTTTCACAAACACATCTTGTTCTATCAGTTGCTACACTTACATGTAGGAGAGCGCATGTCAACATAGCAAAAAGATGTGTTTTCATTGTGTTTATTCTGTGCAAGCAATAAACATGTATTGTATAATCAAATATTATATTCGTTATTGTCAACAACACCAGACACGAAAATCCAAACCGTCGGTGAAACTATCATAATTTCCATGAATATTACTTAAAATATTACATACATAAAAGAAGAATATCTTAATTAGAAAAACATTTCATTTTTATTTCTACCTATATATCAGGTGTAGAGGCAATATGTTCCACAAACACTGTCATGAGATGGCCTTTGGTTCCAATGATATGCACACAGGATGTCTTATTGAGCACAGGCGAGAAGTCAATGACGTCCTGTGCCCTGCCTTTTGTCGACAACTACCCTTATCCCTCCAATATCTCCGCACCGCCCTCTGTCAGACTGTCAGAAGGGACATATATTGACATCCGCCTACCCAGTATACTTGGTAACTCGGATTACGGATTCTCCGCCTTCGTAAACCCTGCCATTCACAATCATAGCTGCATCCTACACTACAAGTCCGACAACGGCCTTTTCGATATGAAGTTCTTTTCCACATCCACAGAAACTCGGGCAACCGTTAACAAAGTGGAAAATCTGACTGTAACCCATAATCCTCTACAGTTGGGACAATGGCAGAAAATCGGCATGGGAGTTGACATATCTCAAGGCAAAATCCGTCTTTCAGTTGATGTATCTGTTTTTGATGACGATGATTTTAATGAGAAGTCCATTTCCGATAGTGCTACTGAAGATCTTAGCCTCCACACCCCAGGAACTTTGAGAGTGGGTGGATCGTTTGACGGAGAAACATACAGTGGTTTGATTTCCTGTGTAAACCTAATTGGGGATAGAAAATTGGATTGTTCTACAGGTTGCTATGATGATGGAACCTGGTCTGAAGGTAAAATCATCGCATGTTACCAATCATTTAATAATCTAAATGATAGTTAACAACATTGTGGCATAAGTTAACAAGAGAAAATTGTTATTTGATATCAATGCAGACAAAAATTAAATCTAATTTATCAGAGATTCTAGTACATTTAAAACCAATTAAAGAAATGCGTTTCTCCAATTGACCCTGTATGCTTCAGATGATTCTTTTATTAGTTCTCTTACATGTTAAAGAATTCCTAACGAACATGGATTGGTGGTCACAATCTGAGAAGCATTCGATTGGTTAACGTTGAATTATTTAATTCTTTTGTAACGCGGTATTTGTTTGGATAAAAATTTTACTTTTTATTGCATAAATTGGTTTGCCTGCGTCATAATGACTTGCGTCAAAAACGGATCGATCCGCACTGACGGTACATTCAAATTTTGTACAAATTGAAGTCATTTTTAACGAGGTTGGATCCTGATATTTAAAGTCTTTTAAAAGAATTTTTTATCAAGTATATTTTTAGTATCTTTACACATAGCTTAAAAATCAAAACAAAAAATGTGGGTCAATATGCTTTTTCTGGCGCTAGGGTACATTCATTATGACCTTTTTGCACTGAAATTATGTCTTAAACATAAATCATACTTCAAAGTTTTCCTTCCAATATTTTTTATCCAAATAAATCATGGGAAAAAATATACTGCTATTCCATCTTTAAAAAGACACATTAGAATTATGACAAAGGAAAACTTTCAAATTGCTTTGCAAAATCCATTAGCTGACCTTTCTGCACTCACAAAATGTCAATTTTCTGGCATTTAAAAATTTAACAAGCCAAAAAATTATTTTAAAGTCTTAAACTTTTGCTGAATTTAAGCATACTGATCAAAGTTATCTTGTACATTCAGAAAAAGAAAATCAAATGGGGGTCTATGATGTAAATTTTTACGTATTACTAAAAAAAAGTGTTAATTTTATGTTAAAATTGACTCATTTTTTTCATTTTTTTCCTGGACTTTCAGAATATATTTACTATATTTGTCACAATATGATGATAGAATTCATAAAAATTAATTTAATAGATATTTCAGAACCAGCATAAAACATTTCACTGCAAAAAACAGCCCTGTGTGCAACCAGCATCTAAAAATAGGCATCTAAACTTAACAGTACTGTAAATACTTCTAGAGGGAAAAATTGATCATTTTTTCTAAAAACCTTTACCGTTCACGGTAGCTCAGTCGGTATAGCGCTCGCTCCGTGATCGGGAGGTCGTGAGTTCGAATCTCGGCCGCGACAGACCTAAGTCGATTAAAAATAGGTAGCAACTGTTCCTTCGCCATGCGCTCGGCACTTTGAAGTGAAAGTTGCGGGTCCTTTGGATGAGACCTTAAAAACCGAGGCCCCGTGTCACGGCAGGCGTTGGCACGATAAAGATCCCTCACTGCTCAATGGCCCTGAGTGCCGAGTAAAGGTCAAAATTTGAAGCCCTTCACCGGTATATGAGTGAAAAATTCTCGAATGGGACGTAAAACAATATACAATCAATCAATCTAAAAACCTTAAGCCACGAAATATAGTTTCTGATTAATCCTAATTGAATGGAATTTAAGGGCAGTTTTTTTTTCATTGAATATAGTTTAATTTGCATTGTAGATTCCCAATTTATTGTAAGAACTCAAATATGATGCAGAATATTAGAAATAAAGGTCCCGTCTAAAATCTGCTCAAAAGCTCAGGATCGAACCTCCTAAATGGCGATCATATTTTTTTCTTACACCAAATGAATGAAAATTTAATTAAAAGGAATGAATTTAATAGCTACCCATTTTATACTGTATAAACTGGGTTGAAACAGTTTCTGCTTTTTTATAAACTGTCCCAACCCAGTTTATATTGTATAAAATGGGTAGCTATTAAATGCATTCCTTAATTAAACGTGTTCAGCGAATTAATAATATAATATAATGTACAGAATCTTCGAAGAAAACAAAAGAAAAGAGTTCCAAAATACGTGCTCTTTAGTTATCGGCTGTGCACCTTATCCCTTATTAAAGACACTCGGTAAGCCTCTAAACAATTAAGAACTCGAGTTGGAGAAAAAACGGTAACAATACAAATTACGAGTTATGGAGCCTACTAGTATATAGAAGGCATTGATACTTAGAGGTACATGTAAGAAAATATTGATGTCAAATGTTGCTTTAAGTATTTTGTTTCTATTTTTGTTACAGTTAGTAATATTCGGGATGAAAAACACTACGGGACTTTCACACCAATTATTTCTGGAAAGGAACCAGTGCAGTCTCCTTTATTCGTCACTTCCGCTGAGACGCTAACCCCCTGCACATTGCTGTGTTTGAAAAATTACCTTGCTTGTGTCTCTATAACGTATGACGTCATCACGAAAATATGTTCTCTATTCTCCGGTTACTTTTTTATTCAGATGCAGAACTGCTCTTCGAGCACCACCCTCTACACATTATATGCCTATAAGATGTATTATGTTGGACCTTAGTAGACTGAGGGGCAATACCCCTATAGTATGGATGGTAACCAATGTTGCAAATCTGCAATCAATGTTTGGCTATCTATAGCTAAAGGTTTTAGTATGTTTTGACAATTTATGATGCAAAATATGAACAGGAAACGTATCTTTGATGATTTTTCCGCTCATGAGCAACTTATAACCGTATATAAACGTTTTGATGTATGAAATTTGTGAAAACTATAATTATGCAAAATATTTTCCTAAATTATATAAAATTGTACTAAACAAAAAATGTATGTACATTAAAAAAAATGAATAAATTGATTTTAACCACGACATTGATTTTTTTTAATTATTCGAATGCCTTTCTCAATGAAAAGCTATACGGTTATCGCCACATTTTTTTTTTCACCCATTTAGTTTTAACTTACGACAGGTCGTATTTTTTCCTACATGTGTATACAACTTAAATGCGGGTATTTCTCTGGTCATTCTGAGTTAATTAACATAGAAATCGACTGTTTTTTCTTCTTACGCGACATTAACCCCGTGTATAAAATATACTCTAGAGCAATCACCGACCTTTTCCTGCTTCGGCAATGGTATCAGGTTTCTGCACACTGATGGACATTCCGTCGGTCAAGACCCACCCTACCTTTTAGCGTACCAGACTATCGCTGGACTTCGCAAGATTGCACTATAGTGTTGTGTGAAGTGTTTCTTTTAAAATGTTGCAGCATTCCTTTTGTATGTTTTATTTCAGTGGTGTTTTACTGGGCCTAGTTAACAGTAAGTTAAACCATCTTTTTAACTTTGATTTAAAAAAAATGGAATTTTTGTTTGACTGTATTGAAGAAAAGGGGCATATTGAATAAAAAATTGTTGTATAATTCCGCATATTACATTTAATTATTTTCATTTGTTAGAATTACACATATATGTAATATTTCTGCAATAATATCCATAATTTAAACAGATGCTAATTTTTACAGATTTTAAAATTTCTTCCAGTAACCATTCAGGTTTAAGGAAACTCAGCTCATAGTTCTTATTTCTTGGTAGTTTTATGAAGTTAGAGTGATCTGTCCTTCGATGTAAAATGGATTAAACGGAAATCAATAATATGAAATAGCATAATTTGAAATAAATTAAAGTAATCTTAATATTATATAAGATAAATACTTGAAATATTATTTTTATGTATATTCCCAATGCAAGTAAACAACAGTGATTTGTGTTCACGAATTTTTTATTTTCCTGGAGAAATTGGCAACTAAGTACGTGTATCATATGATACCTTTATATGTTGCAGTTTTGTCAATCCCCCTCGTAAAAATTCTTAATATTTAGATTTTCCTTAAATATTTTCAAAGCATCCTTTGTGTAATTAAGGAGTAAGGCTTTGAGCATTCATTTTTTTATCCTAATTTTAATTACCTGACGGGGATCGATATTCCTTCAGATACATGTAATATTAAATTCATACCTCATATTGCCAAAACTACCATATTGAGTATAACAATACACATATTTTTCTTTCGTTTATCCATATAAAATTAGGCCAGTGTAATGAGACCCTAAAAGTGACAGCAGAAATTGAACCTCAATACGTCACTTCCCCTGGATATGACGACGACAGGCTCTACTCGGGGTGAGTTTCACGATAATTCGTGGGGAAATGCATGGCTCTTTACCGAAGAAAGAAGTGATTTTTTCCCCAATATAATTATATAAATTAGATTTCTTCTTTTGCTTTTCAACATTTCAGATTTTAAGGATGGATTTTCAAGATGACAACTGCGGTTATTGAAATGTCTTTTCTATCATTAATATATTAGATCTTGTTCCGGTCTTGTAGAGTAGGCTTTCCCCTCTTAAATCTTTCCCCCGAAAACCTGGCCCCGGAAAATAGGCTGTAGAGTAGGATTTCCCCCACGGAAAAATGACTCTAGAGTAGGATTTCCCCTATCTATTCAAAAATCCCACACCAAATTCAATTTTCGGGTTGGGATCCTACTCTGTATAATAGTTAATATAGAGTGCGATTTCCCCCATAGCCAATTTTCCCCCTATGAAATACTATGGCTGTACTTATATATGAGGGGGGAAGGGGTACATTGTAACAAGTGTCCTTCAAAATGGCGACCAGTTCCATTGTCCATTGCAACAAGCAAAGTAAGAAAAATGAGAATTGAAATTTTATTTTTCTCAGTAATTAACCCGTCCACAAATTTTTTGAACCATTAAAATCTTATTCTTTTCATTTGGTCTATCTGGTTTTGGTACAATGTAATCGGTTGGAAAAATTTTAAATGTATCCATAGAAACAAAAAGGAATTTTATTTTGAATGGATTTTTTCTACAATTGTATTTCAAACTACATAATTATACATGTACATAATATTGATGTGTAAGTGTCTCTCCAAAATTCTGGTGTTTAAATATTGCCATGGAACTATAATGGGTCATTTATTTCTTTAAAAAAAATGAAATTTTGCAACTTTTAGAGAGTATTTCTTCTATTACATCGATGGGGTCGAGGGAACATGCTTATCTTTCGGCTAACAAAAAGCAGTGTTTCTTATATTGTTTTGTTTTTTGGTTTTCTTCCCTTTGAAGAATCACTCGATTCAAATACTCGCAAAATGAAATGTATATCAATAACATAAAATTTAGAATTTTCTCACAAACCCTTTGTAAAAAGGATGGATCCATGGAGGAAATACTGGGCCTGTAGAGGGCAAACAAATTATCAAATCACAAAAGCTGCCCTGTATTAATTTTAAAATAAGTGAGCAAACACGTACCGCTGCGCCGAGAGAGTTTTTGAGTTTTACAATTTTTTGAGTGACTAATTTTACAATTTCCCATGAGTTAAAATGAGTTTTGAATTGAGACTCAATGATTTCAACTATATATTTTAAGATTTCATGCTAAATTCGACAATTCTTGAGTCGAAAACACTTATATTTTCCATTAAAAAATCAGTTGACTTTGAGTTTCATAGAAACTTTTTGCCTCAATATTGTCGATATGATTTAATACAGTCTGATAAAAGAGGGGAAATCCTACTCTAGAAAGAGAGGGGAAATTTGGCTCTAGTGTGAGATTTCCCCGCGGGGGAAAATCCTACTCTAGAGTAAAGATTCCGGATGGAAAGATGGCCATGGGGGAAATCCTACTCTACCACACCGGTTATCACCAATCTAAAATTTTAGTTTATTCACAATGACAATTTCCTTACTATTCATCAAGTACGTATCTCACAAATATCTTACAGTCGGCCATATATCTAGGTTTTAATTATTGTATATAATTTTTAAAGGTGCCATAAATCTTCTTATATAAATCTTTTAATTGGTTTCATAATTTACACCCTATATCTTAAAGTGTAACTAAGTCAAAAATTCTTTGAATCACTTTTATAATTGTTAGCTCATATTTGTTTTGTGTTCATCCCAAAGTTTTTCTTTTTGTTTTCCTTTTTTTATTTGATGATATAAATGATACTTGTTGACAATGAAAAAAAAAATACTGAAGCATTTTAGGGGCTACTTATCATATTTTTCTTTTTCCAGGGATTTAACCTGTCGATGGCAGATAAAGGCAGCGCCAGGAACTAACCTCGTTTTCAGCCTGACTATCAGCCATATTCCATGTTTCTTAGGAGACTATGTCAAAATCTTTTTAGGTATGTCACAAGTCAATCTTTTTGTTAAAGTTCGTCCTCTTGTTAAATATGTTCAGATCACCGAGCCAATAAAAATATTCTTGAGATGTACATATACATGTATTTTACTTACACACAGTAAACAGATTAATTCCCCAGTACTTTAAACGAAAATTCTTGAGGTATACATGTACCTGTACTTTACTTATACACAGAAAAAAAAATCAGTATTCATACATAAAGCAATTTTCTTGGTTTCTAGACAATGAAACACAAGTTTTAAACAACGGAGATTTTTGCGGCAAAGCTAAATCCTTTGGACCAATGAGCTTTGAGAACTCCTCTGTGTTGGTTGTTGTGTTTGTTTCGAGATCTTCGAATGTCATGACTATGTCCAAACAAGGATTTCGCCTGCAGTATCTCTCTGCTATAGACTTGTGTATGTACATATATACAAAGTTAAAATTCAAGCATTTTCACTTAAATATCAAAAGCTGTCAAATTGAAAAAAAAAAAAATGAATCAAAATAATAACATATGAAATAAGTTTAACTTTGTTGGTTTCAGCTGGCAACGGTTGTCAGGGAAAGCAGGTATTAATGTCGGACGACACATCACAGTATATTTCATCTCCAAATTTCCCTTATCGTTATCCACCGTAAGATTCTAATAAGTCTAAATTCATTGATTCATATCACTAATGAATATAATATTTTATAACTTTCAAAAAAAAAAAACATCTTTACAATTTTACACAGGAATGCTGAATGTGAATGGGAAATCCGGGCACCAGTTGGATATGACGTCAACGTTTTGATAGTGTTCATTGACATTGAAAATGATATGTTGTGTTCATTTGATTCTATAAAATTTCAGGAAGGTAAGTCCACGTTGGGGTAACTTAAAATAAATAAGATTCCCCTCTTAATTGAATACCATTACTTTAAAACATGACAAGCATAAAAAATGTGCACAGTGGTAATAAAAACAGGTCGTTTTACAAATGTTTTAACAACTCTACCTATTTGGTTATTTAATTTTAGATTTTTGAAAATAAAATTCATGATTTACTCGTACACTTAAGAAACTTTTCAAAAGTGTAAAACCTCCGATACAACTTTGTGACTGCGACTTTTAAATGTACCAGTGTTGTAGAGTAGGATTTCCCTCATAGCCAGATTTCTTCCCGGAATCTGTACTCTTGAGTAGGATTTCCCTCATAGCCAGATTTCTCCCCGGAATCTGTACTCTAGAGTAGGATTTCCCTCATAGCCAGATTTCTCCCTGGAATCTGTACTCTAGAGTAGGATTTCCCTCTGCGGGAAAATCTTGCACTAGAGCCAAATGTCCCCCTATTTCTTTCTCAGAGTAGGATTCCCCCTCTTTTATCAATGCTTAAATTATATCGACAATATTGTGGCAAAAAGTTTATAGTCAACTGATTTTTAATGGAAATACGATTGTTTTCTACAATATAAGAATTGTCGAATTTAGTATGAAATCTTAAAATATATAGTTCAAATCATTGAGTCTCAACCCAAAATTGTAACTCATGGGAAATTTTAAATAAGTCGCTTAAAAATCGTAAGACTCAATTTCTCTACACCCTCTTTTGGAGCAGCAGTACGTGTTTGCTGAAGAATTTTAAAATTTTATCAGGGCACCTTTTTGTGATTTAATAATTTGTCTGTCCTCTAAAGGCCCAGTATTTCATCTACGGACCAATCCATTTACAAAGAGTGTGCGAGAAAATTCTAAAATTTATGTTATTGACGGGTTCCACATGTCATTTTGTGAGTATTTGAATCGAGTAAAATTCTTCTAAGGAAAAAAAAAAACAACGCCAAAACTATAAACTCAACAATACAAGAAACACTGCTTTTGCAAGCCAAAGCATAAGTATGTCCCCTCGGTATAATCGATTTGAGAGCAGAGAGTATACTCTGTAAAAGTTTTGCAAAATAAATTTTTTGACCCATTTTTAGTTCCATGCTTATGGCAATAGTTAAACACCAGAATTTGGAGAGACACTTAACATGTATTTACAGAACATATACATGTAGTTTGAAATACAATTGGAGAAAAAAAATCATTTAAAATAAAGTCCTTTTCTGTTTCTATGAATACAGCTAAAATTTGTCCAACCGATTACATACTACCAATTTTTTTTCCAGAAACCAGTTTGACCAGGCGAAAAGAATAAGATTTTAATGCTTCCAAAAAAAAAAAATTAGTTGGACGGTTACTGAGAAAAATGAGATTTAAAATTTTAATTTTTATTTTTCATACTAAGCATGTTTCAATGGAATTGGTCGACATTTTGAAGAAGGAACCCTTGTAACAATATGTTGCCTCCTCCCCCCTCATACATAAGTACAAGCATTATATTTTATGGAGGGAAAGTTCACTCTGGGGGAAATTGCACTCTATAACTATCACAGAGTAGGATTTCCCCCCGGAAAATTGAATCTGGTATGGGATTTCTGTAGGGAAAATCCTACTTTAGAGTCATTTATCCGTGGAGGAAATCCTACTCTTGAGCATATTTTCGGGGGGGGGGGGGATCCTACTCTAGAGCCAGTTTTCTGAGGGGAAAGATTTTTGAGGGAAAGCCTACTCTACAAGACCGGAACAAATAACATTTGACACCTCTGAATTTGTAGAAAATAACATTCCTCATCATTTTTAGTTAACTTACAATATCTGTAATAATTTCTTTATCAAAAAAATACATACTGAGAATTTGGAACTTCACTTTTTTCAAACCAGATCGCAAAAAAATACATTGTTTAGCTCTGAAATTTACCCAACGTTTTATCACAAAAGTTTTCATTCTATTTGCAAAACATATATTCTGCACGATGGGATACTTTATACCAAAGATTGAAACTATTTTCTTACAGAATGTATTGACAAAAGAGCAAATTTAATTTAGTATAAAATGTACCTCGAATGTCAGTGACCATTGAATAAATTTATGCATCCCTAAAATAGTACTGAAATCAAATTCTTCATATATTCAATACCTTTAATTTTTTTTTCCCTCCTAACAGGGTCAACGCTGAATATAAACTCCCTTTGTACGGAGAACAATTTTAGCTTTGGAAATGTTCGGGGAAGTAGTTTTACAGTGTCCTTCAGCAGTGACGACTCCGAAAACAGACACGGCTTCCTCTTACGCTACAGATCTACAGAGGCTATCTCAAAAGGTATTCTTTTCATAATCTTAAATACATCTTCTTTTTTTTAAATAAAACTTCCAATGCTAATAATAATAATTTGCAAATATAAGTGTAATTTTTTTAAATGAAAAAATACTTAAATTTTGCTCAAAAATATCTCGAATTAGAAAGGTTACCTGTCGATGGTGATCCGAGACCGTATAATATTCACCTAGAATATATTATGCAAAGGGTTCAAATTTGAAGCAAGTAACAACAAAACTATTAGACCAATTTGGCATTTCATCATATTGCTCTGTCTCTTGTCCTGATTGCGTCTTTTGTCTATAACCCGGAGGAGTATTTGCAAAGGAAGTAAGACTGAATAAAAAGATAATCATCATAGAAAAATATGAGAAAGCAACAGTATGATACAATACTGAACTGATAGGAATACAGATAGAAGCTAGAACAACTTCAGACTCACAGAGAACAAAATCGTTTCGCTTCTATTTATCTCGCTTTCTCTTTGCTGTCATACCAGTAGAAGTTACACGTAGGCTATCATATTAAGCATGTATAAGCAACCAAATTAGTGCCATTTCGTTCTTAAGTATTAAATATTATATTTCAGATTGTTCCGAAAGTAAAGCAGACATTGTTTTCCTACTGGACTCCTCCGGAAGTGTCGGAGAGACAAACTTTGCTTTCCTGACCTCCTTCATAGGTGATCTCATATCTGACTTCAACATTGGACCGGAATTTATTCAAGTTGGTTTGGTCACTTACGAAACAAGTGTCTCTAACCACTTTGATCTGAATCAATATGCCACAAAGGAGGCTCTTATAAACGCAACTGACAATGTTTCTTACAAAGGGGGATGGACATATACTGATAAGGGACTCAATTACACTCTGAGGCACAGCTTTACGGAGGAACATGGGGCGCGGTCCGATACAACACGCGTCCTTCTAGTGTTCACTGACGGAGTCTCCAATCACCCTTTGTCGACTAGAGCAATGGCACTAGAAGTGAAGAATGCTGGAATTATCGTTATTCCTGTAGGCGTAGGATCGGGCGTAGACTCGCCGGAGCTATTTTTTATCTCTTCTCGAGAAGAATACGTATTCCGGGCTACCTCGTTTACGGACCTTGACCCAATAAAGAACTCCTTAGAAAATATCATTTGTAAAATAATCAGTTCCTTGTCACAGCACTTCTTTCAGACTACAGAAATTCTTCCAATTTTTGCACCACCTCTTCTCGAATCAAATACTTCTCCGAGTTACTCGGGAGTCACTGCGAATCAAGAACCATCCACAACGGAATCGCTCTCATCAACCCCAGCAACTAGCGAAGCTACTTCCTCGGAGTATAGCGCATCATCAATAACCTCGTCCAATCAAATGTCAACTATTGGTGCGTCTTCAACTACCTCGTCCAATCAGATGTCGACTACAAGAGCGTCATCCAGCCTTTCGACCAATCAGACGTCCACTACAGGAAATAGTACTACAAAGGAAGAAATCACGGATGGATTCACTTCCTCTGTCTACCTCACGCCAACCGGAACAATGCCGGATGATCCCTCTGTCATCTCAACGACAACGCTGAAATCGACACAACGAACCTCTTGCCCTAAACAATCAACCAAAGGATCTGCAACAGGTAAATTCCACCGATACATCTTTATTGTGGAAATTTCCTCTAAAATCATACCAAAGTCATAAAATACTGACTAAATTCTTAACTCTGGAGTATACATTAGATTACGGATTTTTGTGAAAATTTTGTATGATGTCCATTACTTCATTTTCTGACATAAATAACAGAAAAATCCCATCGGTTGGATAGGGAGCGGATCGCAAATCAATTCTAAAAAGAGATAAGGAAAATAACGCATTTGGTTCAAAATTCAATATTTTATGTCCATTGTCGAGCTGTCTGTCCTATAATCTGTACATTTCTTAACCTTGCTATTCTTTGTATGGTCTTTGCGGATTAAAATTGAACTTGGTACAAAGATAAGGATGTATGTTTCCTTGTTGATTTCCATTTTCTTTGAACTCTTATATCTATTAACAAAAATTAATCATCTTGTAAAAGATATAAAAATATCTAGGAATTAGGTTCCATATATTAATTTTGTTGATTTAGTGAAGTCTGTGACAGTACAGAATGTAAAATACACATGGGGATTTCAAATAGACAGAGAAATTGACGGAATGCTCAGTTCTTTGACATTCACACCAGGGGCTCAGAATGTTGATTTGTTAAGACTAAAAGAGCACGGGCTTCGTAGACAGAATATTATCCATAATTAACAGAATTTTCTCCATGCCACTTGTGATTTACTGGCTAGAGGGTATATGTTCATCATAAGTCTATTCCATAATTTGGTCGAATGTCTTATTTTCTTGCTCGAGTCCTGTACTGTAACAATAAAAACTTAGGTTGGGCGGATTTTTAAAATATCCAATGTGCATTCTATGAGGCTCCGTTTTGGTACTTACTGCCAAAAATTGATATCACCTTATTCAAATACTTGATATCACCTATACGAATAGGTGATATCACCGATACGAATAGGTGATATCACCTATTCGAATAAGTTATATCACTCATTCAAATTGAATAGGTGACATCACCTATTCGAATAGGTGATATCACTTATTCGAATAGGTGATATCACTTATTCGAATAGGTGATATCACGTATTCGAATAGGTGATATCACCTATTCAGAAGCTGAATAGGTGATATCATTTATTCGAATAGGTGATATCACCTATTCGAATAGGTGATATCACTTTTTGGCAGTAAATACCAAAACGGCGCCTCATAGCATTCTCCAGTCGGACAGTTTGTGAAATTTAATACTTTATGAAAAGAATGTGTTCTGTATGACTTTCAGATCTCTTCGGGGATTTCGTGCTGACTCGGGACACGATCGCCATTATTTCTGTATGCACAGTTTTTGTCTTCCTGTCCCTGATTTCCTGCTGCCTTCTGATTTGTTTGTGCATAGCTAGGCAGCGGGCAAAGAAGAGAGCGGCAAAGCGAAGGAAGCTCCACGGAGATCTGGAGAAGAATGATCGTAAACACTTACCTTCTGTATACAACAACTAATTGTATACATATGCATTATAATGGTCGGTATTAATAGAGACGAGTTGTCTTTCTTTGACTTAATGTTAATCTTCATATATGATTGTAATATTTGTAATAATCTCAGTAGATTTTTTAATATGAATAAAATTTTGAATACATCCATATATAGTACAATGTACATGTTTCAGAATTATATAAAATTGGGTATTGAAAAGTTTAAATCAGTCGGAGTTTTAGTATATCTTGCACCATGAAGCCTGTCAGTACTGGTCATCATACATGACCCCGTAGGAACGGGAGGGGCGCCCCGCTCCCCAATTATCTATATAAAAGAAAAAAAGTTATTTGCGTTTGTGTCCCCTCAATAATAATGTCTGATAACGACTTTTTTTAATGCCAGGAAATCTCTGTTCGCCCCCCCCCCCCCTTCCTTCCACTCCTAACTGAAATTCTTCCTAGAGACTGGAGGTACCTCAAAATCCAGTAGGTCAGGGAGATTTTTTTGTATTCTCGTATACTTAGTTCTTTCAAAAATCCTATTTTGTACCACTGCGAGGCATATGGTAAACAAATTTGTCGGATTTTGAGAAGACGGGGTGCGACCTTATATAAATTCACAATGGTCAATCTCGTAGTGAGAGAGATTTTGAGAAGGTGGGATGCGACCCTATATAAGTTCGTAAGAGACTCCAAATGATTAAATGAAATTGATCGCATTACTGCTCCGTTTCCCCACCCTCATAATAGCTTGTGGGTGATTTTAATTGGTTACTCTTGGCATCGTGTTACATTCTAGACTGTCACAAATGAAGTCTGGAAATTAGATTTCCAAGCTGAATGTTAAAGACCTGCTGGATACACGATGTATACTTACAAGATATGACAATATGTTAAAGCGTAGATTATGTTGCAGAAAAATTCCTGAAGGAAAACAATACCCAAATTGAAATTGGTCATTATATCAATTACCTAATGACGTAAAATTTCAGATTTTAAATCTTGTATAGTTACCATATATTTTAAATCTTTAGGACACCTAGGTGACCTATTGCTATCTGTTTTGTCCGTCGTCGTGCGTCAGTCGTAAACTTTTGAACATTTTCAGCTTCTTCTCTCGAACCGCAGACCCAATTTCAACCAATTTTGGCATATAGCATCAATTGGTGAAGGGAGACAAAAATTGTGAAATTCATTGTCCATGCCCCCCCCCCCCCCCCCCCCGGGCCATCAAAATCAGCGCTATTTTTGAATTTTTTCTTCATTATTCCTAGACATCAAACAGTAAAACTTTTGGCATGATTGTAATAAGCATTAAGTCATCTACCAAAATTGTGAAATTCATGGCCCCATGGTCAGGAGTTCTTGGGTTAGGGCGGTACTCTAATGAGCATATAGTGAAAATACATAAATTCTTTAAAAATCTTCTTTTCCCCTGTATATTTAGAAAATTAACTAGGTGCATGATTATGATAAGTATTGGTACCTCTTGAAAATTTGTAAAATTTGTGCCACCAGAGTGAGGGGTTTTGGCATTTTGGTTGGGGCTCTCATACAGTGAAAATGCATAAATTCTTTTACACTCGTGTTCTTTCTCCCTCTATATTTAGAAAATAAACTAAGTGCCTAGTAATGATAAGCAAGGATACCTCTTCTAAAACTATGAAATTTGTGGCACCAGGGTTAGGGGTTCTGGAGTTAGGGTGGGGTTCTAATGATCATATATGTGAAAATGCATAAATACAAAGTCGTCTTCTCTCCGTCTGTATATTGAGAAGATAAACCAGGTGTCTGATTATGATGAGCAAGGTTGCCTCTTCCAAAATTGTGAAATTTGTGGTCCCAGGGTCAGGGTTTCTGGAGTTAGGGTGGGGCTCTAATGATAATATAGTAAAACTTTATAAATTCTTTTAACATCTTCTTCCTGCTCCTGAGTATTTAGCAAACAATCAAACTAATTGCATATGATAAGCAAATTTGAGAGAACAGGAGAGACCAGTGTGAGAAGAAGTGCAACTGGTATTCTAATAGTGCTGAAGCACTTTTTTAATGCTTTATTTCTGTGTACTTGATACAGTTAATACATTATAAATAAATTGCACAGAAATTTTTAACACACACACACCCACTTCCACTCTTCACTCATACTTACATAAACAATATTTAATATTTTAGCCATATTTACAAGCTATGTTAAAAAAAAAACAAATTGTATGCAGCCTTTGTCTCTTAATATTCATCTTTTTTCTTAGCAATTAAGTTTCCAACATAAGTTTCCATTGTGTCCATACAGACTCAAATTCATCAGCAGTTGAATTTTTAACAGATATGTATTTTTCCACATTATAGTACACTTTTAAATAGGCTACCAGTCCATTTAAATTTGGCATTTTAATATTTTTTAAACACTGAAAAATAGACTGTTTAGCATATAAAATTATAAAATTAATAACTTAGTTTGAATTTGAAAGAGGCAACTGTCCAAAAATTACATTTTGAACATTAAAACCTACCCGTTTTGATGTATAATTTTAAATATATAGACTGAGGTCATTCCATATATGTAATACATCTTTACACATAAAAAATACACGCAGAATAGTTTCCCATTCATTGCTACAGAAAGTACAAATATCATTTTCTTTTCTTTTAATTTTTTTAAGGTAATGATTTACAGGTGATATTCTATGCAAAATTCTAAACTGTAACCATCGGACAGAAGAGTTTGAAGATACCTTAAAGCACACTTTAAAAATATCTTTCAGTTCCATTTCTTGAAAGCCCCTCAAAAGCATTTCTGAATTCCATTTTGAAAAAGCAGTGGGCTTTACATTTTTTGTGTTAATACTTTCATAAATATGTTTTGAACATTTATCAGTCAATATCAATTTTTTGTATAACAATGGTAAATAAGAGCGCTGTAACTTCATAAAATTTTCGGAGAATTTCGTCTCATTCAAAAACTTCGAAATAGCACTAACAATACTCTTATATTGCATAAAACAAACATAATGAATTTTGTATTTTTCCATAAAACTATCTCTTGACAAAATTGATCCATTGACGTCTAAAAAATCATCAATAAATTCCACACTTTTTTTATACCACTCTTTATAAAAAAAAAAAACTATTTTTATTTACCTTGATACAAGAGTTGAACTGGGGCTGATAAAACTTCAGAGTGTGTAAGATTAGCCTTACCAAAACAATCATTTATTACAAATAACCAATACTCTAAAACATTTTTCCAAAAGTTGTTTTTTGTACATTTCAACATTTTTAATACATAATCATCACCCATATTCAATAACTTATCTGCCACATTTTGTCCATATACTACTTCAAAAATGCTCAACCATGAGTGACTTCCTTTAATAACCCTTTGAATCCATGAACATTTTAGAGAAAGTATGAAATTGTTAAGATTTACCATATTAAGCCCCCCCCCCCAGTGTCTGGTGTTGAGTAACAAGTACTCGTTTAATCTTATCACACTTAGACCCCCATACGAATCTGAGCAACTGTTGTGTTAAAGAAGCTAAGGTTTCCTCACTAGGATTTGGTAATGAAATAAATAAATGGTTTAATTTTGGTACAATTAAAGTTTTTGCTACTGTTACCCGACCGATGGAAGTTAAAATACGTCGATTCCACTGCTGAATCACTGAAGTCAATTAATTAAATTAAATCAATTTTTTCAAGGTCAACAGAAAAATTTATTCCTAACAAAGAGAAGGTTGTTGCACCCCCCCCCCCCCCCAATCTAACTTCCATCTTGAATGGTGGAAGACTTCAGCAAAGAATTCTTTGGAGCCTATCCAGATGATTTTAGTTTTTGTACTATTTATTTTTCAAACCTGAACATTTCGCATATAATTCTAATGTATCAAGAGCAGCATACAAGGAACCTGCAGAACCATCAAGGGCAAGAGAAGTATCATCAGCAGATTGAGATAATTTGTGTTCCTTATCATTTACCACAATACCTTTTATATCATGGTTTTGTTTGATAAGAATAGCAAGAATTTCTGCACAGAGAAGAAAAATGTACGGAGAAACAGGGTCTACCTGACGACATCCACGCTGGACAAGAAATTGCTCAGAGAGAAAACCGCTTTGAAGCATAGAAGCTTTAAAGTTTGTGTTTAAAATTTTTATCCATGTAATTATATTTTTATCAAATCCAAAAAAGTGTAAAACCTTGTATACCAAAGACCAGAAAATGGAATCAAAGGCTTTTATAAATTCTTTTAACATCTTCTTCCTGCTCCTGGGTATTTAGCAAACAATCAAACTAACTGCATAGATATGATAAGCAAATGTGCCTCTTCCAAATTTGAGAGAACAGGAGAGATTAATGTGAGAAGGAGTGCAACTGGTATTCTAATAGTGCTGAAGCGCTTTTGTTTTGTTTAGTCAGAATGATGATAGTGACAAATGGGGGGGGGGGGGTAAGTACAGGCAAGTAAATAGATCTACTTAAAAATGTATTACTGAGTACTAGACTAATTAGTTTGTTGATCCCTGATCATCTGATTTCTCTTGCTTTTGGGCAACATAGCTTCGATCATCTATCAGTTTATTTTTGCATTATTTAATATTCTTCTGTGGATCCTTTACAGTGTTGTATTAAACTCAAGTGACCGTTAAGACCCTTGGGCCTCTTTTTTATTTCACAACTTTGGACATACAAATGATTTAAACATAGGTATCACTTTGAAAGACCTGTGATAGAAAATGGCTAACTAGGAGCTTATTCGAAAATAATGATGGTTTACATCGAAACCAACGATAGTTAAGTAAATCTTGCAAATAAATGAAAGGTATTTTTCCAGAAAGTTCCTTCTAAATGTGTGCATAAAGCCATCAGTAGAATGAATTCTGTAAAGAAAAGTGTAAGTCAGCGTACAGGGGCAAATAACTTGTGCATTTTAAAACCTTGATAAATACATGTATTTTAATCTGCTTTAACTTTAATGATCAAACCAAATTAATACCTGTAATTTAGTAATAGATTTCATTCTAATTCACTTCTATGAAAATTCGATGAAATACTAATACAAACCTTTACACCCCCTATCATTTTTCACCCGAAGCACATTCGCGGAACATGTAAGAAGGTAATGTTTCATAATGAAAGTCTAACCATGAAGATCCCCCCATATCTGGAAATTAGTGCAGCGATCAAACACATTTGAATCAGAGTAGGGTATTAACTATTTATATATACTGTATACAGGGGACGTCGCGCAGAGTATTGGGGTTAATTGCCAGGCGCGTAGCTGCCTATACGCAAATACACAAGTGCGTACACATCATTTAAAAAAAAAACAAACAAAAAAAACAAACAAACAAACAAACAAACGACTAGGGGAGAGAGAGGTTCAAAGAAAAAATCTCATAACCATTTAACAAGTGTTTCGAATTATTTTGTGTAACACTGTTTCGATTTGAATTTATATTATCATGACTGTATAATAAGATTTGAAATCATTTATCAAATCATTGCCAAATCCCAATAAACTATTCATTATTTTTTTAATTGTTCTTTAATACATTGATATTGTTTCAAAAGATTTTGAAATCAAACACATCGCTGAATGCTATGATCTACTACACGTAGTATATAATTTAAAATACAATATTTTTTGTTTATTAATTGACATTTAGTATATCCGTTTTTGAACGTTGAAAAAAGAGTATATGATACCAATATATCGTTTAAACATTAAACATAAACTACAAGTTTCCATGGAAATTTTAGATTTGCGTTAAAATAAATAATATTACTATGTCTTTTATTTTCTTTACAAAAGCTAAATGGTATAATTCTTATTTTGCAAGAAATTGAATGAAATATTTGGTAAAACTCGGGAGCCCTCTACAGCAGACACGTAGTTTAGGGAGGCCAGGGGGTGGCCTACCACCCCCCCCCCCCCCATATTTCAAAACCTAACCTTATACCATTGAAAATGTTCAGGGTTAGGGCCCTTAATTGGTAAATAAACTAATTGAATTGAATTGAATTGAATTGTTCATCGAAAGGGTGATTGTCACCCACCATCCTCCACATACTTTTTGTTGAAACATAGTAAAACCATGGTAATTTGGTAAAGTATTAACAAAAATTTTGATTTGTGAAAGTTAGAACCTAGCCCACCCACCCCCACCCTCACCCCTGCCGTTCTCTGCGTACACTTCACTTCTATTCTGGCTACGCGCCTGATTGCGTAACTTGTGACATTAAAAGACGGGCGCTAGAACTTTTTAGTCATTTTTTGATTTTGGCTACATGGATTTTTCTGGCAATTTGCACCAAGCTTCTATATAACGTCCTTTGATGATGTCGTACAAAATTCATTTATAAATTTTTAGTACTGGCCGATTCCGATTGTTGGTAAAAATGGTAGCATTCCGTGATATGCCATTATTTTGACAAGTAACAAGGAAAGATGAAATGCTTGGTAAAGAATTTTTACTATATAACAAGTTCTTTTGGTAAAACTTAAGTGATAAATGAAATGTGCAAATGTTTCTTTAAAATGTTATGAGCAAGTATTAGGAGAGAATGATAGAGTGATTTTGATGTCTAGTCGGTTTTGTTACTACGACACAAATATGCGTATTATACTATTTTTTTGGGGACGCATATCATATTCGCAATATGAAAGATATAATGTATATTCCAACACTTGAACGTCAACGTTTAGTATTGAATGGCGCTATATCAGCCTCAATGCTGTTCACGACGTCAGGGTTATTTTCGCCATTTTACAATTGCTAAAAAATTTGCTTTGCCTTTTAAATTTGCCCAAACACATTTTTGCTGGAGCCTGAGAGTTAAAGCTGTTTTCTTGAATTCGCTCCTTTTAAAATTCGCCCACATGCAAGACGGGTGAAAGGGCGAAAATAAAACAGGGTCGAAAATTTCCTGTATATAGTAATCACCGATTGTGAATATCATATAATTACCAAACTTTTATTATTAATTTTCTTTACAATTGAATACATCAAATTTAAATACATATTGATTTATTCTTGCAAATGTTGAAAATACTCTTGTACATTTATATTCCGACGAACAAAAACTTTCTGCTCAAAAAAGAGAAAAATCTAAAATCAGTAAATCATTGTATTTCCTTCAGAAAACTTTCAAAATCGATGTGTCACTTTGTTCCGTATGGTTTACTTTTGCCTAAGTTTTACTTCTATCTCCATTTTATGAAAGCAAATTGTTATCGTTACAGAAAATGTTCATCATTATAAAGAGCTGAGGGTCGTTCTCCCCTTATCAATGACCTTATAAATGCTTTCCCATGTTGATCACCGACAGGGCACACGATCTTTCTCGTAATAAAAAATAAATGAAAATAATTAAATAAAGAGACACGTCCTTGATGAAAAAAAAGCTAGACAACTTTTAATCCAGGTGAGCTTAAGGTGCGTGTGACCTTGACTCTGACGTCAGAAGCTGAGTCACAGTTACACGAAGTGTATGGAATTATCACTTGATCATTTTACCATTTCTTTCCCTTGCTTTAAACCTAATGTACCTTAAATTCTGATTCAGTTTCAATACATTTAGCATTTCACGAGGATTACCTAAAGTGTTCTTTACAGAGAACATTAGCTAACAAGAACATTACTCTAAGCCAATAATGACCATTTAGTCCATGTCTAGAAATAACGGATAGGAAAGTGCCGCCAAGCATGAATTTGGATAACAATCGGGCCTCGTTTTATGCCAATAGAATAAATAAGCATGTCTGCCAATATATTATTTTCCATATCGTTTTTTTTTATTTTACAATCGGGTCTCGTTTTATGACCAATAGAATAAATAAGGATGCTGCCACTATATTATTTTCCATATCGTTTTACCCCACTTTACAGTTGTAACAGTTAGAATTTGATGTATCTTTTAAGATAGGGCCATAACGAAGTCTACTCAATGAGGTTCTTTGTTTCTCGAATAAAAGTAAGAGTAATATATTTGATAACATAACTGTACCACAATGTTGAGTTAGGTATAAAGTGTAGTGTTTCTTTTTTCATTTTCGCCTATCTTAGATGGCAATCAAATCTTAGATTTGTTTTAACCTTTCAATTAAACTCTTGCTAGTTCACTCCTTTTATGAAGATGCTATATACTGTATTAAACTCGTGTTAGTTCACTCTTTTTATGAAGATGCTATATACTGTATTCGATTGTTTTCTCATTTAAACAATAAAATGCTTTCTTTGGTTGTTAGTACGGGAATTAATGTCGCAGCTGTTGCAGGAAAAATACATACCCGCGTAAGCGGATTATGTAAATTTTTTCTGCAATAGCTGCGACGTTAACTGGTTAATTCCCGTACTAACAACCAAAGAAAGACATTTTATTGTTCATATTTATATCTGTATAAATAATCATTTAAAGTAGGATTAAAAAGATTAATTATTGTATTATTGATATGTACGTCATAGTACGCTTCATTGGTGGAACAGCCACTGATCAATAAATCTGTACAGGTGATATGCCTAGTGTTGTTCATCAACTGATAAACTGTAATGGTAAAGGAGAAAATATTCAGTGGATGTAAATATAAGGTGATTTTGGACCAACGTCCGCGAAATAGCTTACAAATCTTAAATTCATTGTTTCATCGTTGATTTTGAAAATTGTTACTTGGATTCATACGTTTCTAGTGATAAAAAACAGTATAAAACAAGGGAACTCGATATCTTTAAAAGGGTGGACATAAAAATTTCACCAAATTGCACATTCTGTATACGGTTGAAATCCAGTTGATAAATTATGCATCAACAGCATGTCAAGATCACAGACAAATCAATAACATACGGCTGTACTTTTAAGATCAACGATATTTGTATATTAAATAAAGCTATTGATGAAGTGTGTTTTGTTTTTACCTCTTTCCACTCTTTTTGACCATCGCTGTTTTTTAATTAACTTTCAGGGATCAGCAAAATTATCTCTTTTTGGCACAGTTTGAAATATTCACCAAGAACTTTTTGTTCCATTACATAATTTTCTTCTATGGTTAAAAAAAACGTCATCAGGTTTCTATAAACAGATAAACAGCTTGAATGCTGACTTTTAGGCTATTCTCGAAGTAGTACTAAATGAACTAAAGGAAGACTCAAGCAATGCACAACAAGTTGCTGAACGTCAAGAGCCAAATAAATCTCGCTTTGTACACGCCATTGTTTGGAACATTACCTGGTCAACGAAAATAACGACGTGTGGACAGAATAAAGATAAAATTTATTACATAACGTAACATATCACATTAAACAAAGGCAAACTACAAAGCATAACAAGACTACTACAAGAATCAATGTGGAATACTGGACAGAAATAGCACTTCTCGATGTGGACCTCTGTTGGTTTTACGATGTATTCTTTTTCATTTAAGGACACTTGCTACAGCGAAGATTGACATACATGTATAATATATATGTGATGCAAATATCATGGAAGTATTACAAAATTGGAGACTTTTCTGTTTTGTTCAAAATTATTACCTTTTCCACTCCCCTTATTAATATTTTTAATCATTTCATAGGCATTATTGAAAAATCTTGAAAAAAAACCCTTTGGCTTAACTTATTCAATTTACTTATATAAACATATAGGCTTGGTACCTATTATCATTACTTTTCAAGAAAGTTTGTTAATAGCAAGTGGCCTTAATGGACATAATATCAGTAATAAAGAATAACACTTCAAATGCTGTTTGCACACGAAAATGCTTATATTTTAAGTTTTAAAAATTGCTACAAACAGTAAGGCCAGATTGCAAAGTATTCAAAGTTTGATAAAATGAAATCATAATTATTGTGATCAGTTCGTTACATAAACAATATAATTATATGGCATGTATTTGAATATATTAGAACTAAGTACAAGGGTAAAAGTCAAAGTCAACAAAAAACATGACATTTAATTCTATATTTTTATTCATCAATTACAAGTATTATTCAGCAATACAAAGTCATGATCGACTCCAAAGATAGTATTAAAAAAATATCTAGATTTACAAATGTGTCATGTTCGAAAACTGATTCTGAGAGTAGCTGTTAAATGTTCTTATAAGGAGGTTTAATGAGTTTCATTTTCTAATTGCACAGAGAGAAATTGATTCAGAAGTGGTGCTGAGAGCAGGGATAATCCTGATTCATCTACTAATTACCTACGGTGAGCCGATTCATTGATCTATTTTGAAAGTTGTCAATGTCAGTTCAGATTGCATTACTTAAACTTCTTATTCTGTTCAGTATATGGTTGTATTTCACCCACATCCAACTTAATTAAAAGTTTCATTGACACATCTGAAAATACCAGGTCAAGTCAATCTGTCTAAGATCAGCATCCTGATTCACATATTTTACTAAAAGAGGATAATCAAATTAGGCAAACATACCAGAATTTTAAGTTTTATAGACCAGTCTCAAAGTGAAGCACAAGATCTTAATTCAAACATTTTGATGTAGTTAACCTTCATGTATGCGGAGGATTAATTGACAATAACTGGGACAAAGTTTTGTTTAACTGTTCTGTTAAACAAAGCTCTCTCCACAGATGGATGAACAGATGAACACTAGTCTAATGATCCATAGACAAGTTTTGCTTTGCAATCTGGCCAAAAGACACAGAAAAATCATGGCTGTGAATTATGGAATCCTAATATGTCAATATATAAAAAAAAATAAGATATAGTGACCTGTGTTCGAGCTGAAACCATACATCTTATTATTTACATTTGATCTATTTTAATTAAAAAAATATATCATCTACATTTGAAGTTTGGCAAAATGCTTAATATCATCAATTTATATACTGTTTCTACTTATATGTATATAAAAAATTTTTCTTCAAAATCATTTAAACCTACAATCACTCAAACTAATTTCCTCTCTTGTTTAAAAAAAAATCCTCAACATTTCGATTGTAGTCCTATATCATAGGTACAAATAATATCAGTATGGTGTCCTTGTCCAAAAATGTTCATCAAAATGTATTTACACATACAATTAAGGAAACAGAATTTCTGTAACTTTTTCCGTAATGCCAGCTGCGCCCTGCCTTTTCATTCATCAGTTTAACTATACAGGAACAAAGAATTGCATTAAAAAGATACCTAGAAGTCCCTATTGAGACTATAGTTGTACTGATTTGAACTGATGATAATTTACACTCTATATGTCCTCATTTTCCTTTAAAAGCAAGAAGGAGTTTGAATAGATTCTATTTCTTACTCTATTTTTAGTAACCATTATAACACTGTTCACTGAAATTGAAAACCAATATACAGAATTTGGTGTCTTGAATTGTACCAATTTTAACTAAAATCGGACTAATTATGTAGGAGGAATAGAATTCTGGCAGATTTTCACAGATTATTCTTCTTGCAGTGACTATGATAAACTGTTTTTTGAAATTAGTTAAGAAATCCAAAGTCAAAACTAGGTATGTTGATGGAATCTACATGTATCTGTATACCAGGTTTTACTAAAATCAGAGTACAACTTTCAGAGTATACTACATAACATTTTAAAGAAAATTCAAAGACAGAACAGCAGGCAGGTTGTGGTTAACTTTAACAATGCATAAACTCTTGTATTCTTTGACCAGTAGAGTTAAAAATTCCATAAATGAGAAGTAAATGACAAAGAAGGAACTAAAATGCTTATTGAATTTAAAGTCCACAGAAAAATCTTGGCAAGGGAGACAAACGGCTAGTCTGAACCAATAAATGACTTGTTCTTCTCATGGTATATATAAATAAATGGGAAATTCTGTGGTACAATGTCCTTGCTCTTTATAATGTCCTGAGTCATGGAAATCTCACAGCAGTTTGTCAAAAATGATTTTTTTTTTAATAAAAAAAAAAATCAATGTTAGTGGAATGGAAATGATGAACAATCTATAAAAAAAATTCTCATGGGTTGTACATGTACCAACGACCACTACAACATATAGCTGTTATGTTGCTAATTAACTTATACGGAGGACATGGTATTTGTTGTTCTTCATTCCGAACTTTTTAAAGAAGCCTATATGCACCCTGAATTTATACCTACAGCTGATATAATTTATTGACCATAAAGAATCAATATGTAAATATCTTATATTTACCCATTTTTTATGTTAAAATTTCACATTTCATTTATCTCTTTTTCTTAATCTCTGTTTCTCTGAAAATTTTATTCTGATATGTACAGTTTCTGTGTGAGTGCTCATTTTGAAAAATACACATGACCTTTATGCACTAAGAATCAAAAGGATTTTTTACAGTGACAAATCAACCAGTTAAATGAAACTGAATTCTGTAATAAAACTTTTTTTTTTAAAAAAATAAGGTGTGAAAGAACCAACAATCTGCAAAAATGCTGAAAACAAAAATCTTTGTTTCCACTGGAATATTGACATTACCACACAGAGACACAATGAAAGAACAATGAACTTTGTACACTGATATCTGTGAATCAAAAGGTATGTATTTTCACGTCTTCATTGTTGAAAGCAGAAAAGCAAAAGTAAAGCTCCAATAGCACTGGGTCAATTACCACCGGTCAAGAATAGAACAATTTTTCAACAAGTCACAAAACACTAGAAAACAGATTCATTAAAATTTGTGAAAAAAAATCTAATAAGCATTTAATGATAAAAATTGAACAAGATTTCTCGATCACCTAAAATCTAGAAAAGTATGTACAAAGCATGGAAGGAAGAGTCGATTGAGAGATGTCAACTATGATGAGTTTTTGGCTTCTAGGTTTAGGATAGAAGTACAAAATTTCCAAACTATTTTCAATTCTATGGAATCCTTACTACAGAATCAAAAATCCTGTGGTAAAGGGGTAAAAGATTATGAAGCACTACTCATGTGTGTTAGTTGTCATTTAACAGGAAAAAAAATTGAAAAAAAAGCAAAAATACCTCTCATAACAACAATTAACAAGTACAACATTAAACAAAAAAACATTCACAAAATGAAGAAAATGTATTCAGCATTTAAGTTTTAGGACTTATACTCCCAATGAGAAAAAACTTTTCTCCCTATGTACATGTATCATGATTTAAAGGCATATCTTTTAAAAAGAGTTTGTCATTAATTTATACCTGGTTAAGGACTTTAACCTTTTAAAACTTAGGTTTTGAAGCAAAAAAAGTGAGATAAAAGTAGTAACTAATTGGATTTCAAGAGTTTTTGAAATAATAATGAATTACAATACAGAACATCTTAGTCTACCCTTAAATTACTTAGAAAGTTTTGAGAAAGGTGATTGATAAAAATCTGCAAAATGTTCTGGGACATCGGGTAATGAAAATTTAATATACAAAATGTACTTCTATAAAAATGTAATCAGAATTTTTGTAAATAATCAGCTTCACATTTCATTTTACCAGGAAAATGAGTTGAGGTCATATTACACTGATAAAACTTAATTTGGTTCTGGCATTCATTTTAGTAGCAATTTGAAATCATAACAATCTATAATGGACTGCTTCTACTCTGTATTCAGAAATGAAAACTGGAAAAACGGTAATGGTACAATACATCAAGGAAACTTGCTGACATCATTCTATTAAGTTTTACACTTGGTATCAATTTGCTTGGATTCTTTTCCTTTTTTTGGGGGGGGGTGGGGGGGTGTTCAGTAAAATTCAAATAGTCATTTTAACAGAGCAACATTTGAGCATTTCATTTTAAGATTAACAAAATAGCAATATATGCCCAAGTATACTTTAAACCACCTAACATAACATAATGTTGATATGTAACATTCTTTTCATGCTTTTTGTGGTGCAGACAATGATTAAATTGTGAATCCTACTCTACTTAAATATTAAACATGTATATGGAATTGTTTCGCAAGAATTCGTTTGCAAATTCTTTTCATTGCTTGATAAATTGCAATACTATATGGTTCTTTTCTACATGCTTGACAAATGAAAAGTCTTCATGCAATATGTCTGAACAATACAATGTAAAGAGTGAACTATCTTACATCCATATGTACATTTTGAAAACAAGTGATTATGAAGCTTTATATTAGTATTACAATCAATATGATGTAATAAAAAAAAATCCAGATGATTGAGCAATTGGTGATGTAATGGACTCTGAAGGCAATGAAACAAGCTTTTAATGTTCACTCGTTTGGCAAATCGAATATTTCTATCAACAAGGGTTCTATACTGTCCACTTTCATTTTGAGCAACATTTTTGTATGCACTTCATTAATATTCCGTAGATCAGTCAGTTTCATTACAATTTTGGCAAACATGATTTTGTCCTCTGGAAATCTCCTCTGAACATATTTTTGTAGAATTCCAGCATAACATTCTTGGATCTGTTGAATTTTGTCATGTTCAATAACACCTTGGCGATCTGCTGAAAACAGAGACAGCATGATAAGCAGCTTTAGCGCTAATAGGTCCCCATGGATTGTTCTCATAAGGGACTTGATGAATTTTGAATAAGTCAAGAACATGTTATGAGTTTCTGATCCTCCCATTTTGAGAATATCTGCACTGACCGTTCCAACACCACTGCCAACCCCTCCCTCCTCTTTCATCCGAGCACTCATCATCTCCTTAAATTTCTTCAATTCTTCCTCTTTGGCTTGTCCTCCCATTTGTCCCATTCCAGGAAATCCTCCCATTCCCATGCCCATTTTCTGGGATAATGGTTCGCCCTGTAATTCTGTTGTAGGAGAGATTCCACTCATCTGTGATCCTGACCCAGAATCGGAACTTGACGAAGGGCCAGGACTTTTGGACAAACACTTCATGGTGCTAAAACTCCAAGATTCTGTTTGAACATCATAGTTTATTGCTGATCGTAGCATCATAATCTCCACTACTGAGCCCTTAAGTAAAGCAATTTGGTCTTCCTTACAAATCATTTTGAAGAATTCAATGTTCTTAGCCACTTTAATTATCCTTCTCACAAAACCTTCAGCTAAGTTCACAAACTCAGTAGCATTAGATGGTGGAGCTTTTAATGATGTTGAAGTGTTTGCCAAGAAGGAACTCTGTTCATGAGCTATCCTTAATTCATTGAGTATACATTGGTCAATCTCTGGCAAGCTTGCTATGATTTCAGCCACAATCTCCTGTGATTCACTCCAGCTTGGATATTTGATGTCTATTGAAGGGAATCTATTAGCACTGAATGGTTCACTCTTCATTTTCATCAGAACATCCAGCTCTTTGTCAGACAAGTTTGGAAAAGACATCCGTAAATTGTGGAGTGTCTGTGAACGGAACTGATCTTGCAGAGTATCGTTGACATCCTGTTGAGTGGCAGCGTAGGTATCCTCCGGTGGAAGTTGGCCATGTTTTCGTAACTTGTTAATTATAATTTTTTGTTTCCTAACTTGTTTCTGCTCATCATCTTAAAGAAACAAAAAAAATTATTTGCAAATGCTACTTCAAAGATATTCTTTAGAAAAAAAAATTGTGATAGCTTGGTCTAGACTGTACAGGGAAATATTTGCCTATTCTATTTTCACCCCCTTTTCACCCAAATCTTCTGTGGGCATGCACATTTAAAATAGGACAAATTCAACACACAGTTATATCTCTTTCTACACAATTGTGTAATTGGGTGAATTTGCAATGGGTAAAATTGTTTGCAAGTGTGACAGTGTGAAAATAATATGGGGCAAAAATAACCCTGCATAAAATATTTGAATGATAAAATGAAAAAAAATTAATATCTTTTATTTGTCACTTATGGAGGAAGAAAACATATACAGTGAGTGTTGCTTCAACAAGGAAAAATAATTAGATTGCATACATGTGTTAGAAGATGTACAGGTATTGAGTTCAACAGGTCAGAATGATGATTTATGATTTTGAAGGTAATATACTTCTTCCTTTCAATGTACATGTATAAATCATAGAAAAATCAGTAAGTGTCCATTATCACAAGACACATTCATCATTTGTTGAACAAACTGATCTCCATTAGGTGTTTAAAGTCAACTTACTCAATATCATGTCTTTCCTCATGCCAGCAGTGAAGCATTTGGCCAGACGACACTTTTTGCAGAATGAACGGGATTCTATTGTGATGTCACATCTTCCTTCACACCTCCCACGAATTACCTAAAAATTCATGATGTTCTACATGTATTAAAATACAACCAGTAAATTAACAACTCAGCAGTACCTTATTTAAGAGCCTTAATTAGAAATCAAGTGCACTTAATAGTATTTTTCCGATAGTTTGATCTTGCTATTATTTTTTTTTTCATTAAAATGAACCCCCTCCCCCCCAATCTTTCTACACACACACACATCCTCACACACACACACACAACCTCACAGTGACACACACATACAAAATAAAAAGATATATAAGCAATCCTCCTCAGGATTTGCATTAAAAAAATAATCTTGTTACTACATGTATAAATTTGCCAGCTGTCTTTGTAGTACAGTCCAACGGTATACAGGTAAAACTAGGCCAGTGAGTATAAAAACTACTATAGATCACTATGTTTTTGCGAGGTCTTATTTTCACGAGATAGCTATTTAGTAGTGTTGTCAAATCGGACGATTTTTAGTAACCGGGTACTCGCTCACTTTCCCGATCGAGTAACCGGTTACTCGGATGTTTTTTCTTTAGACCTCAAAACACCCTTTTTTGCAGTATAAATGCTCAATAGTAATTGAAATACATTTTGTATTTGTAACATCGTCACCATTTCTATATTTATCATATTTATTTAATTATATTTTTTATACCGGTATATATAAAACACAAATGCATTGCTTATGCAACTTTATTCTTAATTACAAACAAAAGTTTTTTTTCTCGAATATCCCGTAATAGTTTGCTGTTCTGCAGGATGTCCTTTATAAAATATCGCTTGATTCAGAGTAAAATTTCAATCTAAGAAGGTTTAGCATATTTTTGGTCCCACCGTGTATGTTTATTCCATTTCAATACATCCAAATATTTTACAACTTACGGATTTAATTTCAGTCACTCTTTTAAAAGATTTGGGTGCATTTGGCGGCATCTTCTTTAATCTTGTATACCGCAGATTAACACAGATTTATAAGAGATGATTATAATTATCTCAAGCCTTCAAAACTTGTATATCCCTCGGCAATCAAAGCCTCCAATTAGATAATTTGTGAAATACTTATCAAAACAAATCGGTCGTATTTGTAAAAAGCTAGGTCGAGTCTATCGTTAAATAACGGTAAATTAATTGTAGAAATTTATGAACAAAATTTCATTTTTCCTGCTGATTTCAACATGTTAAAATATAAATTTTATATATACGAGTAACCGAGTAGTAGTTTTACTAACCGATACTCGCATCGTTCGATGGTTAACCGGGTACTCGTTGACAACACTACTATTTAGTATTTATTGGAGAGACAAAATATTTCGTGAGCTATGGTTTTTGTTCTATATAATCCTTCACAATACAAATATATGCGAAAATAAAATTTTCATGAGCAGATAGACTCTATTATGTGAAAATAAAGTTCTCGTGAATAAAAAGTGATTTACAGTACATTCACTTTCATTACTGGAGGAATTAAACTTCAACTCTTTGCCCTTAAAACCAGTTTCTGACCATGGATTAATCAGTGCAGAATTGATCCCTGAATCTCTCAGGTGCTATTAAGTGCTCATACCTGTGATAAATGGCTAGAGAAATAACAACTCTTTCAAAAGTTCGGCATATTTTTATAACTATCGAAGTGTATTTACTTTTCTGGTACAAGTAGGGTCATTATTTGTGACTACTTAGTGACCACAAGCACAGATGCCAGAAAGTCAATTTAAAGGCAGTAATAAAAAAGCAGGTTTAATATAGCACACAGGCTATTGGCAAATACACTGTTAAAATAGAGTCATGAATTAAAATGTTCCCTGGAATTAGGAGAGAATGGACAGAGAAGCAATTTAAGCAGTCTCCAAAGATTCACTGTAATCCTGATTTTCTTGTACAGCTAAAACTCTAAATATTGTTTGTTGGTTTAAGCCAGAAAGGTCATGTTCCATTTGTGTCATTACAACTACATAAAAACACTAACAGTTTGATATACATGTATATGGCCTTGACCTACCTGTTTCAATATTCAGAATCTTATGTACGGTGTAATGTTACAGATTTCATTCACAAAGTAGACATAAAATCTTCAGTGTCTACTAATGGTTGATTTCTGGTATCAGAATAGAACTAATCTTCTAGTTTTTTTATACAATGTATGATTTAGTAATGACAAACATGACAAGTACATTAGTAAAACGGTCAAAAAGCTTTATCTTATTTGCAATCAATGAGCTTTGACAGTTACTGTGAATAGTATATAAGAAAAAAATTGTTGGCAGGGTTCTTGGGAAGAATGGGTTTTGCCAAACCCTCACAACAAACTGCTGCAATCAGCTTGACAGCCTCAGGTAAACAATTATGTTTTCAGGTACAATAAAATGCATGCTGCTCTGGAACCCAGTCATTGTCAGAATGTATATTATATTAGCATATTGAATTGTTAGGTATCCATGTACGGTATTCATGTACTCAACTGACAGGGATTAAGTAATAGATAGACTTGAAAAAATTATCTATCAGTATAATCTATGGACACCTATTTAGGACCTGTCAAAAAATATTTTTGAATTAATATAATGAACTGTAGAATTTGTTTTAAAGGAAATTAATTTGTTACAAAAAATTTTGAGTTCGTTATAATAAATCAAATTTTTTATAACAGATTTTTTGAATTTGTTTAACAAAATTTAATTTAAATTTGTTTTAATAGATTAAATTTATTTAAAAAAAATTCCAAAATCTATTATAATGAGATTTAATAATCCTTTTAAAAGAATTCATAATAACAATTTTGGAATTCATTTAAATCTGCAACAACAAAGAATTCAAAAAATTGTTATAACGAGTTAAATTTGTTTATCAAATTTGAAATTTGTTAAATCAAATTCAAAAATAATTTTGAATAGGTCCTAAATGGGCTTCCATGCATCCAAATCCAAATTTAATATGATAGGTAATTTAATTTTTTCAGGAAATATGAAAATACATGTAGGGAGAGGGCTAAAATAGGCTATGCCTGCTGCCTAATCCCATTCACTTTATGTGAATGAAATTATTCATAGTTTCTGAGGAAAAAAATGAAATGTTGATAATTAGTCAATTGTAAAACAAGCACAGCTTGGTCTTTCAAGCCAGTCATAATAATAAAAAAAACAGACTTTTTTTAGGCATTTGAGGGACTGTCAGCCAGTACCTATTTACCTTGTGGGCATTCCTTCTGAAAAATGCCTTGCAGGATTCACAGGATACAGCATTGAAATTGTATCCTAATGCCTTGTCCCCACACACAAGACAAGTCTTGTCCTTTTTCTGAAAGGTCATGGATGCCCCTGCTGATGAGTCAGGACTCTTTCTGTCCCAGTCCTAAAAACAAAAAAGAGTAAATTACATACCATATGGACATCAATTTGCCCTTAAACTAGTACATTGTATTATGGACCTGCACATATACCTGTACATGTAGGCATGCCTTCATGTTTAAAACAATTGATTGTAGTGTACTTGTACTTTAGCAGCACATTACTGTCTAAAATTTATGAAGAATCTGATACGTTACCATACCTGCCTATTAATGAGTTAAAAAATGTCCAATTTCAAAAAAGGACAAATTTTTCCATACAGAGTGGACAGCTTTTTTTCTAACAGAATGGACAATGCCATGTCAGGTAAGATGCAATATTAAAGTTAAGACTTATTTCAGTAAGAGGAAGGCCTAAAACTGTCCATTCTGTGATCTAGGATGTCCAACCCTAGATCAGTTTTTTTCTCTCATAAAATGGACAGTTTGAGGCTCTCCTTCATTTTAATTAATGTCTTGATTTTTTTTTACCTACATGTAAACATTTTTTCCATGTTGAAAGTATATGAATTATAACACAGACACAACATAGCTAGATCAGCATCCCCGGTATTTCAGTCTGAGAATATTATGAAATTAAAACATATACAAGTACAAAACGTCATTTCCACAAAATTTAAACATAGGTAATCAGAGATTACAGAGCTCACCTCAACGAATGTTGTCTTTAAGTAAGGCAAAGTCCCACACTAAACTAATAATCTAGGAGAGTGCGTCCCTAGATGCAACATTTATGCAAGTTTGGTCTGATAGGGCTTGCAGTTACTTGGGAATGGACTTATCTGAAAACTTAAAACTAGTCACTCATCCAGAAAATGTAAGTCAAATCCAGCATCCGAAGCAAGTTTTGAGATTGTTCGTCCCTTGATGCATCATCCATACAAGTTTGGTTCAGATAGGCCTTATAGTTACTTGGAAATGAGATCTGCTCCAAAAACTTTAACCTGGTTACTCATCCGGAAAATGTAGGTCAGATCCAGCATCCGAAGCAAGTCCAGTAGTGTGAATCCTTAGATGTATTATCCATGCAAGTTTGGTCAATATAGGGTTTATAGTTACTTGGAAATGACATCTGCTCCAAAAACTTCGTTAAGGTGAGCTAAAAATGCAAAAAAGTGTAATGCATTATCATTTGATAGTTTAAATGAACTAGCTAACATGCAATGTTTTTCAGGCATAGATAATTTGACAATGTTCATGGGTGGTTTTTTTTTTCTATGTAGGTCACAAGCAAGACAACACAGAGGAATGACATCCCCGATAGTAATGTACCTTAAAAATCACTGAACATCTTAAATATGTCTCCCTGTTTCTTCATACATACATACACTCAAATACATATTAGTTCTAGTACATTACATTTTGCCTTCCCAAACTCTTCTTGCAGAGGTTAAAGAAGAAGTTCCCCCTTGGAGAAATCAATTGCCTCTTTAATCAACATGATACATACCCAAAAAAAGTTTTAGTAACATTGATCAAATTATATAATGTACACCCCTGAAAATCCCACATACAGAATTTCTAAATAACTAAGAACTGATGCCAACTGTCATGATCAATCCAACCATTCATAGAATAACGAGAAGTCAATCAGCCCTAATGTTATATATTGGATATACATGATGACTTTTTTCCCTCAACAAACTCTATTTGTTCTTATGCTATATTCATTTTTGTGTCATATGGAACCAGGTTACCAAGTTTCTCATTTTCAAACTTATAGATCAGACAGAAATGAATGAAATTTTGTAGATTTGTAGTTAATTTCTTAATTAACTACATTTAAAAGATATGGCATGACTATTCCTTTGATCACAATTGAATACCTCTTTCCAAAAGAATATATTGATGATCTTTTTTTAAAAAAAAAAGAAAGAAAGTAAAGATTTGAGAGATGAAAGTCAACAATGGATGCACAAAAACTTAACAGGTGACATCAACCGAGGAACTTCTTTGATATATACCTAAAAAGTTATCATGTATGAAAATAGACTTGAAACAGATCAACGCTGTTCAGAAATATGCCTACAATTATTTCTGTGTTTACAATTTAAAACTAAAATGACAGAAATTCTAAATTTTATTTTTTGTTTTTTGCTTTTCTTCTTGGATTATATTGAGAGATTTTGACCTTGTAATTGTCATCATGTGATGGCAATTGCCTCAAGGTTAATCTCTCATCAACAAATTTGGTGTTTATTCATGCACACCCAGTGGACTGTATTTGAGAGACCTGATAGAAACCCAAATGGAAACCCCAGGGTATATAATGTTAGCATCATCTGTAAATTCAAATTAACATGTTGATGCACAGATTTAACGTAGTGTAGATATCTAGTCAAATGTTACATGACTTCAATAATTTATTTCTTTTCCATTTTCCCGGCTAACAAGATTGTGCAACACCAAGTTAAGAGCAATTATTCTGTGGTTGACAAGTTTTACGTGGACCGCTCCTGAACAACCTCAGGCACACTGTGTCCATACTTTCCATCAGGTCTCTAATGTTGTCATTTTACCCATCAAATGAATAAACCTTGTACAAGTATTCTCACTCAGCAAATCAATAAGATGTGCATTAAACTTACAAGACATTTTGTGTCACATTGCTCTTTTTGTATCTTCTGAAGCACTTTTTTTTCATCCTTTTAATTGTCAAATAATTAATATACCTGTAATTTACTATTATTCAAATGCCCATAAAGGTTTCAAACACATGATGCTAATATTGTTGTATAATTATATCCACTGAATATTTTCTCTCATTGTATTTTCTAAGAAAACCAATTGCTGTTTTATATCTAAATTAATAACCAATATAATATATATTACTTCTTGAAAAGTTTGATCCAGATATAATATTATAACATCCCTATGAAAGTTTTTTTAAGAAGTGTAAATTTGGGCTCAACAGTTTTATGGTTTTTCCATTACTGTTGCATATACAGATTGATCATGCATACATTTTACCAGAGAAATATAAAAACCATATGTCTCTGATTTTACATACTTCCACCCATCTTTTATGAAAAACTGAACACTGACACTTATAAAAGTAAACATTAAAATGTCTTTAAATGTTTTTTTTATAGAGATGAACTGTTGCAAACATTGCAGAACAAATTTAAATGATATACAGTTGAACTTCGATATCTCGAACACTGATATCTTGAATAACATGGATATGTCGAAGAGATTTGAAAGTCCCAACCCCTTATTCTTTTAGCATTTTACCCTGGATATCTCAAACCCTCGGATATCTCGAAGTTTTTTCTCAGTCCCAATGAGTTTGAGATAACGAGGTTTGACTGTATGTATTTTTTCCGTAATGGTGCAACCATTCATCCTTGTACAAAGAAAGAAAGATTTTTTTCATGCCTCTACATCAGGGCCCAGTATGTCTACATCATGACGTGAAATGTAGGGTAATCAAAGATTACAAAGTGACACCTCAATGAATGCTATCTATAAAGTAAGGGTAGTCTCACACCAAACAAATGTACTGGTAGCATGCACTGCTCATACATGCAGCAATTCTATTCAAGTTTGGTCGGGGTAGGAATTTCACTTACTAATAGAACTAATAGAAGTAAGTCAGACGTTACGTAGCATCGGAAGCATGGCTAGTGGTAGTGTGCACTAAGACATTATAAGACTAAGACACATCATCCATGCAAGTTTGTTCTTTTAATGGTAAGGGCTTATACTGTACAGACATGCTCAAAAAACTCAATCTAGTCAATAATGTGGAAAATGTGGGTCAGATCCAGCAATTTCAAAGTAAGTCTGGTAACTAGTATACATTCAAAGATGCATCATCCATGCAAGGGCTTATAGTTACATAATTATGTACCTGGGAATGAATTTCCTACTAAAAACTTAAATGGGGATGCCTGGATGCCTGGAGGGGCATACCAATTTAAGCTCTGAACTCTGGCAAGGTGTTTTTGAAAAGAAAATGAAGCAGGTTTTTAATTTTATTAATTTTATGAAGAGTATTCTTGTAAAATCTTGATTTATATCCAATATTCATACCTAATGATGATCAGTTGATAATATATAATTACTGGATAAATAGCATCCACATCGTTTCACAAGCATTAGAACACAGTCACCTACATGTACTATACCTTCACATGAAAACTGACTTTGTGCCTTACATTTAATATACAGTCAAACTTCATTATCTCAAACTCGATGAACTGAGATATCTGAGGGTTCTAGATATTGAGGGTAAAATACTTTTTAAAAAGTGCTTGGGACTTCCAAATCACTTCAGCATATCCATGGTATTTGAGATATCTGTGTTTGAGATACCGAAGTCCATTTGTATATATTGTCCTAAAAAGTAGCCAACTGAAATCCTCAAGACATTTTGCATCATTTCAAGGGCAAAAAATCCAAAGAAAATTTTAAACTAATTATCAAAAATCACATAAGGTCAATTTAACCTATAAGATGCTCGCTGACAACACAGATAACTATGAACAAAAAATTCAGCGGGCATGCTTAAAAATGACAGGTTTACTACCTGTCCACAAACATTACATTTCTCATAAAAAAATTAAAATTCTCACCATCTTCCTTGAATTCTCAATAAAGTTTGCATACTTCATCCTCATATATATAAGAGCATCTTAATATTACAGGGTACAATTTCTCCTGTTCTAACTCTATACACATAATCTTCTTCATACAAATGCATCAATATGTAGGTCACTGTGTGTGTCCCCCAAATGACCGGTGTCTCGATTTATCTCATCTAGTTGTTTACTCAGTAAACTGACCTGCTTATTGATTAGCTAGCCAGGTAAAATCTACTACAAAATCCACACCAGAGACCTTGCAGTAAACCTGGCTTTGCTCTGGAAACAATATTCCAGCTGATGACATGATGGCAAGGAGAAGTATTGGTCAATATCACTAATGAGATACTAAAGGTCTTATGTACTTCTATATAACCAGTCAACATGTGTTCAAATCATGATAAGTCTATGATCATATT